GCTTATGAATAACTAACTACATGTTATTTTTAAAATTATCTTGTCTCATGCAAAAAAAATGGGTTGTTCACAGGCTGTGGGTGTACAGACTCTTTGTCCTGCCTGCCTGGCACCCTATCCCCCCTCTTCTCCTTACTTGTGTGTATGAGCATTTAGCTTTTTTTGGTCTGTAGTCAGAAACATGATGTATCACACAATTCTCATTCTTGAAACAGATTCCACCCATAACAGCAGACAACATTCAGCTCTGTATCAAAAGGCACTTGCACATTATTTAAAACAAAAGAATTGCAAAGATTTGCATGGAAGCAGATTAACTTCTTGAGGATTGCTAGTCCTCTTAATGGATAAAGGGAGTTCTCTTTTAACATGAGTCAAAGATGAGAGTCCCTGTTTTTTCCAGCTGCACTGAACACTGAGTGTGTTTAGGTAACTTGCAGTCCTGTACTGCTTTTCTTCTGTCTGTGAGTGCAGAGCAACAGAGGATCTCATCAATGTTCCATTTATTCAGTCAAATCCTTCTTACATCACCTCATACTAACTGTCAGGGTGATACTTTTACTAATCAGAAAGAGGCTAAATTGGGGAAAGGTAAAACTGAAGCATACTGCAATAAACTGGATCCAATTCATTATTCCTGTAGTCCATTACACAGTCCCCATGAGAATCCAGAATTATGTGCCAGAAAAGGGCATGCACTGCAGTCTGAAAGATTTCTTTTGAAACTGATAGAGTTTTGAAGAGTAGGATTTTCATGTTCCAAAATGCAACATGGACATTATTATTATGCACAGAAACATACACTCCATCTTAGGAGCTTATTCACTTTGGCCTGAGTGACAACCTGCCACAAAGTTTCTCAGAGATCACCTTTGTCTCATCAGGATGTCGAGAACCCCGTTCACAAAAAAACCTTCATAACATTTGCAGAATTACAGACCAGCAAACTATGAAGTGAGACTTCTCCCACAGCATGAAGCAAGTAGCCTTTCCCAGTGAGTTTATCATGCAGGTTTTGCCAATTATTAAAAGCAAGCCGTGACAGGTAAAAGCAGGAAGAGAATGCCTGGGGAACAGAGATTTGTGTAAAGGTTAGAGGCAGCACGGGCAATATTGGTTGCAAAAGCAAACAGGCAAAGACAAACACAAAAAAGGACCATTACATCTAACTACACAGAACATACTACATGACATGGATGAGGACTTAAACAATGACACATTTTAACACTGCAATAGCAGTGGATGCTGAACACACCATTTGCATACCACCACAGTAATATGGAACTGAATAGCAACACAACAAAGGCAAAAAAGACCTCACAACAATCTCCCAGTCCACTTTTTAGGAAACATATTTCTCATTTGGATTTATTTTTTTTTTTAAACTGTAATACTTTTAGTGCTTTTTGATCTAACTACAATGCTTAGCACAAAATTTAAGTAAATTTAAACTGCCTGAAGTCTGTACTGAGTTTGTTTTATACTGACTACATACACTCAGCCTGTACAAAGGAAGACAATGAACATGTCTATTTTGGTGTATAAAACACTGGCCATTTATCTGTGTAAATATGATGACATCTGAGGAATGACAGTCCTGGTCCCTGCTGAGTTCCTTTGCTTTTGGAAAATAAAAAAGGCTCAGGCTTCTACTATGAAACCCAAGTTTTCATTTTGGAGGATTATAAAACAGCAACAGGCAGGGGTGATGACAGGAAAGATGAGAGTAACAGAAGGAAGGAAAAGATGTTGCTGAATTGAAGGACAAGAAAAGAGAAAGGAAGCTGCCCATTTTACACACAGCAGCAGCTTGTCAGCCAGCAAGTAACAGCTGCCACTCAGCAATACTTCTGTCTCCTTGAAGGAGATACATGCTAGCAGCTGCCGTGAGGAAAAAGTTTAGTTACTTGACAAGCTGTATTTACTGGTTCCTTTCACCCATTTCCATTAAATATATGACTTAAAAGTAGTATCATCAGCATTTATTGGATATATTGGATATAAAGCTTTTCACGATTCTCAACTTTAACAGTGATTTCTGTATATGCTGTTCATCTTTTTCCATGAGAAAAACCTGCTGGAGAGCTACAGAAATATAAAGACACATTTAAATATAATGCATCTAACTGAAATCTGCTCTCACAACTTTACCTATCTATGCATGAATGTTTGAAGGCTGGAGTCCAAATATTTTCTAGAAGAGATGTCTGTAATTTTCTCCTGCTTGTAATGAGATAATTTGCTGCACTAGAAGGCACATTGCTGGATGTCTTGTTAAAAAAAAAAAAAAAAGATAAATAAAAAAACCCAGAAAAACCCCATAAAATGAATAGGAAAAAAAAGGGCTCAAAAAGAACTGCAAGAGTTCATCTAGTCCATTTCTTTCTCCATCAGGGTAAATTACATCTCCATAATTCCTAGAAGCTGGCTGTATTGACACTTTTCAAAGACTTTCAGTGCTGAAGTGTTGCAGTGTTAAGCTAGTCCCAGGAATATATTCTAGTGTTTCCCTTTTTTTGCCAAGTAGTATTTTCTCTATCACTGTTTTTTAATGTTGAGATTGAAAATGCAATTTAAGTTTAATAGTCTGTTCTGTCTCCCACAGGCATGAAAATCTTGGTTGTTCTCTCTTTGTAAAGCTTTCAACACTATTTAGGTTACACTGCTGTCATGTCTCCCTTTAGTCTTTTCATCCCTAGATGAACCATTCAAATTCCTTCTCTTTCCTCATGGGTTGTTTTCTTGAAGTGTAACACCCTAAAATGGTCAAGAGGTCTCAAGGGTCAGCAATGAGAGGCATCCCAACTAGCAGGGCTGCTTGTGGTGCCATATGAAGAGAACTTTGTGGGCAAGACTGTAGAATGGTCTTATTTTATGTCACAGATGAACATCAATATCAATACAAGAGTAAGAGTAAATAAGAGTGTTTAGGCTTACTTATTCATTCTGTGAACAACGATCTAGACAGTTTTGTTTGCTGCCAGAATGATGGAAAAATCTAAAGAGTAACCAAATGATAGATGTTTTCTTGCTATTTTTAGAAATGGTATAATGAAAATGCAGGCTTAAGTTTTCTTCAGTGATGTGGTTACATGTAAGATGTCAAGAGCATTTTACTTCAAAAGTACATATTTTAATACAAGTAAAATGCAAATGCACACAGAGGAGCACAGTGTATATAATACGTGAGTGGGAGATTTCTGAGGATTGCTCAGCCTGTCAGCTCTCCTTCCATCTGTAACAGCCCCAAGGCAAATACCGCAGTTTCCCAGGGCTCTTCAATGTGCTGTATCCAGAGTTTAATTTTTACAGCAATTTACAAAACACCATGAATGAGGCAGTACTTTGCAATGCTACTTGTCATGGTTACACACAGCCTTCCCAAAGATCACCCTAACTCTGCTCCTTTCAGCAGCTGACATTCTGAACTGCTTTGACGGCAACAAAGCTCAGTCCTAACCAGGCTAAGCAGACCAAGAACTGCTCCCTCAGCCCTGGCAGAGGTAGACATTCCTTGGCTTGCACCTCCAGGCTTTGCTAAGCAGCCAGCTTTGCTCCCATTGGCAATTAGCACACCACAGTCTGTAATATCTTTCTTTGAGTGAATCTACTAACAACACATATTGGAGTATTTACCTAACTTATCTATCTCCTGGGAACATTTCAACAGTCTTCAGGACCTAAGCAGATGTAGTCTTAGGCAGAACTGCATCTCACAGGGAACATTATTTAGGAAATATGTAAATATTTGCTCCCCTTTGTGTTTGCTGTGTCAAAAGGCATCAAAAGGCTAATTTAAGAGCCTGATCACTGTGTAACCCATTCACACTAGCACTACATATATAAAAAGAGTCCAATGAAATACTCCTTATTGAAATGCAAGCATGGAAAAAATGAACATTTCTCTATTCAATTTAGTGACAGAGATGAAGGATCTTCTGTCAGTTTCACCAATAATTATTTGTGGGGGAAAAGGAGTAAATTCACCTTGCAGAATTTCCAGGCATATGAACATTTGTGTCAATAAAGTAATTTACAAGTTACTGTTCTTCAGAAAACCACAGAAGGAAGCAGCCCACCCTCTGGAAAGAAAATCCCATCAAGCACAGCATTTCTGTGGGGTCTATCACATTCTACCAGCCCTAAGCTACACACTGCAGATATTTTATTCCAACCTAAACGCTGATACATATAGATCCAGATGGATAAACAAATGGCCAGAAGAGTAGAATCAGAACAAAATTCCTAGCAAAATGATAATATCTGGTTACTTAAATAGTAACTTAATTGCTGCCATGTCTGTATATTGCAAAGTCTTCAATAACACTGTGATCCCACCCTACCTTCTGCATCTATAAGCCAATTATTTGTTATATCACTTTATATTCTATGGAGATGAGTTGCTAACCAATCACTGTAAATGAGAAAGAAAAATTAAAAAATGAAGTCTACTAGACTGTCATGCAAATCACTTCGTGCTGATACACAATATATTCAAAGTAGTTGCCACCTGCCTCCTTCAAAAAAGGGTAATACTGTTTTGCCCTTTTAACAATTTGTCTTATTCCAGCCACAGTTCCAGTTTTAACCTGGTCATGTCACAGAGGCATCGAAACATTGTCCAGTCTTCTGAAGACTGGATCCACATCTTTCCTAATCAGGTCAGATAGATACTTAGGTCTGGAGGAAAAAAAAATAAATTAAACAAAATCACTGAGAATTCAGTCAGTGATATACTCCTCCTACTCATATTCCCATTTTGACTAAGTGACAGGTGTCACTGGTGGCAGGTGACAACGTTGAATTCTGTATTTAAAGCTCTGACTGTACATCGATTCTATTTAAAGCACCAAATTTATCAAAGTAATGAGCTTCAATATTGCCCGTGTTACCACAGACCCATCACCCTCCTGGAAATGAGCAGTTTGATCATTCCTGGTCAAACCCCCCATGATTAAAGCACCTCCCTGTGCTGCCAGTATTGAGAACAGGGACTGTACCATCCGGCGTTGCCTGCTGACGGGGTTTTTTACATTTGACGTAATCGTGGTCAACTGGAGTGGCTGTGTAAGGTGGGGATGTCAGACCTGGACCAGAGGAGGAGGGGAGGGAAGTCCCAGGGCCTGGCACTGTTCCAGCTGAAGAGTGAGAATCTTCATCAATCATGCAAGTTTTTTCCCTATGAGGGGCAAGAAAAATCATGTTAACACACTGGGGACTTACTCAAAGAACAAAAGGAAACTACAACTTCCTAGGAGATTTCCAACACACTAATTACATCTTCCTAATAAATTCTAAAGGATGGATTTCTAGTACAAGTTCTATTCCTCCCTTGTCAATAGTAAAACATTCTTTATTTTGTAGTTGTTCATGAAACAAATATGAGAACTAAAGCCCCTTGTCCTTTAAAATAAAAGTCCTTTGCTTTTGAATTTGCTAATAGTTGATAAAACAATTTTTTTAAGAAATAAAACCAGTGGCTTCAAAAGGGATCACAAGATGAACATTATTCCATTTTGTTCCCCTCCCATCTACACTGTGCCAATTATTGAAAAGATGTCAGAGCAGTGTATAATCTTACTGTATCTTACTGAAACCTGAAAACTGCAAACATTAGAACTAATTCTAGTCAACTTGTTTGGTTTGTATTTCATTCAGCTTCACTTTAACAGTATATTATACAGTCATTTCCATGTATGCTTCCAGAGGATACTCCTAGAGATCAGCACTCACTTTTCTGCAACTTTTGGGGTGTTCTTCTCCTCACCCCTGGCAAATGGTCCCTCAGAAGCTTCTTTCATGAAACTAACTAGTATCTCTGCATCTACTCCAGAGTCTGGTTTCCCCACAAGTTTCAAAATAGAAGCATGAAGACGAAAGTACACCTAGAAAACACCAAAGTCCATTTGATCAGTAGAGAATTCATAGCTCTCCTCTGTAGAAACTGCAGGAGTTAGTAAGGACAGTAATTTGTTACCTAAATGTACCTGAATAGGACTTCTCCTGCCTTTCAAAGTTGCTTGTAAATTACAAGATCTCAACACTGTAAAAACTTTACAACTGCAATCTATGGCACAGGCCTGGTCTGCTTAGAACCAGGTCATCACCAGGTATTTTCACTATGTTTACCAAACAACACAGTGAAAGTAAAGGTGTTTTGACTACCATTCCAACTGGTGCATGAGCTTATCCTTTCACAGGTATGCTTGTGAAACCTACCCATGTTTGATTTTGATAAAAAACTGAATAATGAACTGTGTGAAGCGAAACCCAGAAGTGGAAATTCTGCCTGTCTGTCCCATACTGACACTGTCCACATAAACAGCCTTTAAAGCAAAACCAGCCTGATTAATTGACTCCATTTTGTTCTCCAAGTCAGGCAGTCTTTTAAATGTCCCCAGATGCAGAGCACCATGTACATATACTAATAATATGAACAATAGCTGGTATTTCATTAACTGTAGAGAACAAGGTTTTCAAGCCTACATCTTTAACTTGCTTTTACCTCCAAAGCTTCCATGGCAAGCTCAGGTGGATTATGGTAGTGAATCTTCTTTGGGTATCGGGCAGCCTCCTCATGCAAGTAATGACCTGCCTGTTTGTAATGAAGCAGATAGACAACAGGAGGCTGCTTCTGCTTCTCTGCAATCTTCCCCAGCATGTAGTGAATAAGCCACTCCTCCTCATCACCATCTCCCTCACAGCGAGATGCTGAGGTAAAGCACAGCTTGGCTGTCTCCAACATGCTGTCTCGAAGCTCTTCCATCTGTGATCAAACCAAGGGTGGAGGATACATGAATTCACTGTGGCTGGGATGAAAAATTCTACAAATACACTCCTGCACACAAAGAAGTATCTACTAGGTATGTAATTAAAAACATTTTCAACCTAAAATACACAGAACACACCCAAGTGATCAGATACATCCTGAGTGCTGACAGTGTGTGCTTATGGATTGGTTGCTGTTCATTCCAGTAACTGCTGACACAAATAACCAGAACAAAGCAGTAACAGGAATGGAATATGCATATAAATATAAATCTGAAACACCACAAATCCATATATATGTCTACAAAATCTGTTTCAGAGCTGTAATTATCTTAACTCTTATATTTTGTTCTGATGCTTAAGTCTGCTACAGCCACTATGGACCATTATCTCTGGTGAAGAAATGTATTTTATCTTGCTTACAATGCACTTAACTTTGAGCTCAATATGGCAAGAATACTTTTTCTCTTCCCCCCAAAAATTAAAACTAGCAGCATAAAATAAGGTTAGCTGCCAATAAAGTCACATAAAAAACTAGGTCAAAAGATGCATTAATACAATTTTCTCTCTTTGAAAAAGAAGTTTATAAGTTTAAATTGTTGGGCTATAGCAGTATCCCAAGTATTTGCTGCAATTCAAGACCTTTAACAGAGCATTTAATTTCCTAAATATTTTGTAAGGAAAAGAGAATAATAAGGTTTTCATGTATGTGAAACACATTCCTGAAGAGATACAACCCTGGAACGGATAACATATCGTTCCAATGTATCTTCTATTATAATAGAGCTTCCCTTAGTAAATTATGCCATTTTAATATATTCATTTGAAAAAAGAAAGATTCAACTAGTCCTAAACAAACATTCTGATTTAATCCACAACTTAAGCTGGCTGCTCTGTATTCTACCTTTTATCTGATAATATGAAATAACTCCAGCATTATCCCTGGAAGTCTTCACCAAGTCCTTCACAAACAAGAGGCCACAAGACAGTCAGACTAAACTTTTGATAGATCAAAGGCATGAAATGTAATAACATCATTTTCATTGTATGACATTTACAGAAAGGTAAGGTAAATATAATTCCCCTTTCCAGAAGGTTAAAATAATTGTGTGTCACCTTTGAAAGATAATTCAAAGATCAGGCTCAACTAATTTTACATAGGAAAAAGAAAGGGAAAAATACATTTAATTGTTACTTGATACCAGCAGCTTATATGACTAAATATTGGAATTTCCAATATTAATGAATAACCATACAGCCTAACATGTGGTATGCACCATATAAATATTGAATTTTAAAAGCTACTACATTAGAAAAGATAATTTAAAATATTTAACATTTCATACTGTTCTCAGTTAGATCCTACCTGCTGCACAAATTCAGGGGGGAGTTCTGATTTCCACTGCTTAAGCTGTCGGGATGCAAAAGAATGCAGGGCATAGGAAATGGTGCCATATTCTATCCACAAGGAAAGATTTGAGCTGTCAATCTCAAGGGCTCTCTTGAAGCAATTCAAGACAGGAGTGGAGTGCTTCCAGATGGGGCCATCACTTTTCAATTCATTAGAGTTCAACTTGTCCTGAATACGACTGGCTCGAGCCAGAGCCATGCCAGCCCATGAATCAAACCTAGGTAAGCAAGAACATAACACCGTGAACAATTTCCCCCTAGACATCACTGAATGGCACTGACAAGGTTCATTTCACATTCACAACTTTCTCCTCCTTTCATCATATGCTCTCCCCCAAAATAAATTTCTGCATCTCCTCCCCTCATAATGGGACACAGACTGTATAGCCTAAATTATAATGATTTTATTAAAAACTGTTTCCTGGTAAAGCACCATGCACAGTAATTGTCACAAATGAAAAACAAATGAAACAACAAGGCTTGTTTGCCATGTTAAAAACCAGCACATCTATTCTCCTAATGGCAGTACTCCCATTGATTTCTTCTCTCAGCAACCACAGTCCTGCCCAAGCATTGTCACCCTTTATTTCTGTAGGCCAACAGACAGCCATTATGGCATTTTGTATTGTTGGACTGAACTGTGAATGGTCTTTATCATCATCATTTTCCAACAGAAAAATCCCTAAAACCAAAATGCATTTATGTAGGAAAATTCTGATGAACAACAAAGATTTTCTGAGGGGATTGTTCAGGATCTAGTCTTGTGTTCATCATATGACTGACAATAAAAGTATAAAGAGCAGTTTCCATATCCCTTAATCTCACATTAAGATCTGGGGGTTGGTGGCACTGGAATTTTTTCCATTTTACCACAATTCTAACACCAAAGGAATACTCATGTTCTCACATTTTTCTCGTCACTTCTTGCCAATTTCAATTGAAAACCTATTTCTGGGTCAAGTGACCTCAATAGTTAGATTCCTGAGGGGAATGGAAGGAGAACTGTATCACAGACATTTGAAGTAGTAGTATCTCATACAACTGGGGTAAAAATACTATGCTACCACATAAAGCATCTTCTGAGCAACAAACCTTCACAGTAAAAATGTATTCCACTCCTCCATTTATTAATTTAGCTTTTCAAGTATCAATGCTACAGAAAAATGGGAGGAGTGGTAGTTTCTTTATCAGGCTTCAAACTCAAGTTGTAGCAATGTGCTAATTGCAGTTCCCAGACTAGAAGACTCAACTACAGCTCTTTCCTCAGTAGATTTCACATGCAAAATTGTTCTGTGCCTTCACCTTCCCTCTTGTCTCTGGCATGTGACTGGGTTTAGAAATAGTTTTCTTGTCTCAAATCTATCAAAGTAGGGGTTTTGTCATTGACCCTCATCTATCAGCTTCAAGGAGAATTGAAATTATAGTTAACAGCTAAAGACTTACTCAAAATATGTTTTATTTGATGGTATTTCAGTAAATTGTAAATTATCAAGAAACAAAATGGTTTAGTTTAAATATCAATTTGCTACTTTACCCTAAGTTTGTGTTCTGAGTAGTTTTCTAGCAGCAAGATCAATAATTTTAGAAAAAGGTCAGCCTAAACAGTTAATCCTCTAAAGAATGCTAGTTGTGCTATAGCTATGCTATGAAACAGGTATAAACACACCAAAACAGAGAACAAAAGGTGCAAAAGAGAAATACTGATTTGATCCTTGTCCCTCTCAGTTTATTTTAATTTAGCTTCTCCCTACCCACTTTATTTTTTTTGTTTTAATTTCAAAACAATCAAAATATTAAGCACTAGGCTTTGGTTTTTATTTTGTTTCTTGGGCTGTTTTAGAGATGTCCTTTATTATACAATCCACCTATGCTGACAGATTGCAAGCAGGTTTTTAGTTTGTTGGGTTTTTTAACTCCTGAAACCAAAACAAATACCTTTTTGAAAAGCAGATAATGAAAGCATGGAAAGAAGTGAGAAGAATGAATGATGTGCAGCAGGATTCAATAATACTGACCTGTTTGGACAAATACAAATGTCATGCATGTAAAATTTAATGGCCTTAGACTGTTCTTTATTCTTGAAATGATAGTCTGCCAGAAGATAGTACAACTCAGTCACCACTGGTGGAGAATAGTCTGCACCATCTGGGAGAGATGGTGCCTGAAAATAAAAAAAGTACAGGTTCAAATTAAATAAAATGTTTATAATAAATGACCAGTGCACTTGCTTATTCCTTATAGTAAAAGTAGCCTTTTCATCACAGAATATGAAGGTATTGAATATGAAGACAGTCAAAGCATTCCACAGACACACAGAGCTCTTATAAACACTAATGAACATCTCACACTGACTCCACATTAAACAAGATTACATCTTGCCACTTCAAGACTAAAAGCTTTGGTGGTGTCCTTCTTATTTCATTTCAATGCAATTACCTAAGGAAATACCACCTCATGGAATAAATCATTCCCCTATGTCACAGTCAATATAAAAAATAACAGCAGCAATTTTTACTCCTTTCAATTCATTTATTTTTTTAAAGCAATTCATTTTACCTTGCTGCACGTTCCTTCAATGTAGGCAGATACAGTATCCAGGCTCAGCATGGGCTTGTCTGTTCGGGGAACAATTGTAGCAGTCTTCTTCAGAAGGTTGGCCAAATCAGCAGAGACAGTACTGGTTTTGTAACTGTCAAATTCTGGAAGAGTTTTAGGCTTAAAATATTCAAACATGAACAAAGCATCTTCCCATGTTAGATCAACCTGAAGAGGAAGGTAGATGACAGGGGACAAAATTAACTCAAATTCCAAAATTCAAAAGTCTACTAACACAGAGTTTCTGTGGCTCTTCTAGGTTGTAAAAATATAAATATTGTTGTAGCAGAGAACAAATTAAACCTCCCATGAAGAGAACAACTAAAGGCACCATTGACTTATGCTGCTCACATACTGCTCACTGATTCATGAGACTCAGGTTTTGGGCCATAACTTAATGTATGTCACTGAAAAATAAAGTAATTGTACTTGCTTAGAAGAGTTGCTCAGAAAAGTTTTTTACAAGCAAGAATCAACTACAAGCATCCTGAGTGATAATGACATCATGGGTAAGACACAGATGAGAAAAGCTCTGCACCTTTAATTTCACACTTAAGAACAAATGAAATGGGAATCAGACAAAATTCTGAGACTCAATCTACAAACTCTCTGCAGAAAAGAACTTTCAGAATTTATTCCTTATTTTCCCTTCTGCTAAAAATGAATTTGTCAGTGATTTGAAGACAAACTTTTTCACCAAGAACCGCTCCAATGTAGCACAGTGGGGGGGGGCAGAGAGCAATCTCCTTTTTCTTAGTTATTCCCATTTTACCATTATCTTAAGTTTTTAACAGGTAAATTTAAGAAACAGAATTCACAAATACTCACTGAGTAATAACATAACGGTATTTGTGTATTTTAAAAAGTCTGTTCAAAGGAGCCAGACAACTGTTTTGTTTGGTTGAAACTGTTCTGCATTTATAACTCTATGATCACTTGCATTTGGTAAATACAAAAATAATCTCAGGCTTTCGAACAAAATCAGTCATGTTTCAAGGACTGCTGTCCTGCTTTTCTGTCCCTTTCTTATACACCTTCTTTCCACATCCCTCTTCCCAAAAGACTTTGAAGCTGTTGTTCTCCCAAAAACAACTGAAATTTGTGTTTCTCAAACAGTTACCAGATATTTACCATCATAGATTTCAAAATAAGCTATATTTTACTTGCATAATTTTTAACAGAGACATTTTTCACTTTCATAAACTGCAAGGCTGGCTGCTAAAGTTCTCTTCTCTCAAGCTGACCTTTTTCCTTTCTAATTTTCCTCAAACTCGAACTTCTTCTCTGTTGGAAACAGGAAAATCATGGCTTAATAAAATCAATTTGTTGAGTTTCACAATGGCAGACTACTGTGATTAAGACTATACTAGCATTTGGTTTCAAATATCTGCCCCTCTATGTTCATAAAGGCTTCCATAATTTTTAATGAGTTAATTTTCCACAATAAGTAAAATACATAAATTTTACAAGGAAATAAAAGTAATCATTCACCAAAATATATTAAAGTGCATTAAAAACAAACAAGGGAGTATCTTTCATCACTTCAGGATATTCCACTGACAATAAATAAATACACATCTTACCTGCTGTACTGAATGTTCTTCTAGGTACCTTGCTTTGCTTTTTTTGCTAGGGAAACCATATAAACAATAAAAACACTGCTCCAAGGCTGTTTCCAACTCTTCTTTGTATGGATGAGTATCTTCAGAAGTAGATGCTGCAAGTTCTTTCTGTAGTACCTGAACCTACAACATCCCAAATGTTAATGAGACAGTCAGCTGGAGGCTGAAGACTGCATTAAGTTTCCTTGTTTTTTTTTAAAGGCAGATGATGAAAACAACATGAAGGAACTACACACATTTGTCCCCAATTCCAAACAAATTTTATCCATGTTTCTGTAAACGAGTCTGACCCAAGTAATTTCAATGGCACTGTAACTGCAATCAAGTGCTTTTGTATTTTTTCCTGTGTTAATTCGTGAAGTCTTGTCTTCAATCACAAAGATTAGGTATTAGCTTAATGTTTCAGACTTAAGATCATTCAAAGGTGTCCCCTGCACACCAAGTTGTTTCTCTGAATATGAACACCACAGTTTGTCAACCCTGTGAATAAGGAAAAGGCACAGAAGAATTTCTACTCTGACTCACAACCATCAATTTCCTTTGCCTGGAAAAGGGGGGTGAAGACTTTGCAGGAAAAGAAGGGATGGCTAAGGAAAAACTGGCTAAAAGGAATACAGAATTGCACAATACAAATAGTATTATACAGATGGCTTCACACTGAGGAAAGTGGCTGGATTGATCCCAAATGACTAAACACTGTATCAAGTTGTTATCTTCAATTTCAACACTACAAGAAAAATCACCCATCAACAGCATATTTTGGAAGATGTTATTTCTATGTAATACACACTGAAGAAAACTAACTGAATGCCAAAAGGTATTTTTTTGCAAATTTTCACTAAGCTTACTTAGAAAATAAACTAAAAATTGACACATTCCAGGAAGGCATTCCCAAGCTAATAAAAAATGTTCAACAAGAATAATCTGCATAGTGGGATTTTGCATCTTTATTTCCAAATCAAAACAAAACCCACACTTAATCTGTGAAGTTTAAGAATCTATTCCAACCTGTTCCACTATGAAATTTAAAGTAAAAAATGAAATGTGTAAGTAGAAATTACTCTCATACTATCTTACACATCCAACAGCAATATGTCTAAAGAAAACTAATTTGAGGTGACAAAAGATAAATGCTTCTGCTGTAATCAGCACTTGGGGGAATTCTGGGTACAGAAAAACACCAAGTTCGCCATCATCACAAGGCAAAATTCTGCCAGTCCTACATGTAAGAAGCTGATTTGTAAGTCCTGGGCTTAAATATAAGACGGCAATTCTCTTCTGCTTAAAAGATCAGTGTTAAGAACAAGGTACTATTTAAAAGCCAAAACCCTTAAAAATAAGAATAAAAACAATTCTTAGAAGGCATCTCAATGAAATTTTGAGTCACAGCAATCATCTTTGAGTCACAGCAGACACTTTATTTCTGCTACTTTTCCTGTAAGAATTTGTGAGCAATGTTTGAAATTAGGAAAAGCGTAGGCAAGGAAGTTGAAAGGAAGATGTAAACATCACAGGATACTGCAACCCAAGCATGACATTCCTACTGCTGCAAACAAGGTGACATCTAACACCAGCAACAGAACTCTCACCTGAACAGTGTTCTTATTCAGCTTTTACATTTCTGGCAATAGCCCACAATTTTCTTGGTAATTCAGACTATTTCTAGAGGACTTGACTACATTTTAACATCCTCCTTTGCACATCACCTGCATCCACAAGAGTACAGGGTTCATCCACAGAAGGTGATCACTTAACGCTAGTCTGTAAGGCATACTTTTGCTTAACATTCTTGAAAAAATTCATCCCATTTTCTTTGCCTTTCTTTCCAACACCTTCTCGTCTCTGAAAACTAAATCCTTGCGCTTAATAATATCATATTTCAGTTTAAGAAGGGGGCAATTTTCTGACTGTAATTTGAAGATTCTGCTGAAAGCACCTGATGACATTTGCAAAGATCTAGCTGTAAATACATTTAAATACATCCACAGCTCTCAATTATCTGTAGTTTATCCAGGCTCCCAGGGCACATTATCAGGCTCCTCAGGCTGTGGACACAGGCACAGTCTACAGACAATTTTGATTCATCACTTAGGAGAGCTGCATCCAAGGGCAGCATGGGTCTGGAATAGGCTGTTTCCATGGAGCACTGAGCAGATCCATGCAGGCAACTCAGGTGGATCAGCATTATACTTCTAATACCAGGGAGACTGAGGAGAGTAGGATGCAGAGATAATCTAATAGTCCTACACTGAATCAGCCTCAGTTCAAATCCTCTTCTTTCACTCCAGCCCTATCAGGGTGAGCCAACTCCTGCAGAACTCCTCAGGCTCTCCCATGCCATGCTTCCTTGCAGTCCAGATTACTGTCCCAGACACACTGCTGCTCAAACTCTGAGGGAGATGGGGTCTGGCACTGAGCTGCGGCTAATAAGCTCCAGGGAGTGCTGAGAAGGGAAATTAAGAGATTCCTGAGCAGCTCTACACAGAGCTAATAATTATTTTCTCACAGGTGAAAGGTAATAAGCCTCAGAGAAGTCAGACTGAACTTGTGAAGTGCCAATGGCAAGTCTCAGCAGAGCACTGCCCAAGGAATGTCAGTGTGCTGCACTCCCTGGGCCCTGCTGCCAGCACTGCACACTGAGAAGATGCCTGCTCAGCTGCTCCTAAGCCAAGGGTAAGTGAGGAAACAGCAACACACACACACATTCTCCTTCAACTATGAGAAATTTCTGGTTTAACAACTAGACCTCAAGGACTAATCTTAAGAATTCAGCAATGAATGGGTAACTCCTTTAATCTAATAATGTTACAGCATTACAGCCCAGACACCCATTTCTGCAGCATCTTAGACCTTCTCACACTCCTATCTGAACAGCAGAACAAAAACCAGCCTCCAAACACAGGGAAGCAAAGAACTGAATTCATTCTTCATTCGTACCATCTTTGTTCAACAGATGAACTCTAAATGTATATTTGAAGTTACATTTAGTTCATAATACGGAAACAATAGAATTACTTTAAATTTTAAATAGAACTTTAAACTTTAAATAGAATTACTAACTATTTTTTCAGTCTGTGGTATGAAATCAAGGCAGGTAGAATTAAATAAGTCAAATTTATCAGCAGCAGAACAGCCAAACATATCACAGTTTCAGGACCAAACCCAGGTAACACCACCCCATCTGTGAGCCATCAGCAGCATTCCAGATGCATGCCTGAGGAGAGAGAAATCCCTGCTCTTGTGATTTGGAACAAATCAATACCCAAGTTTAACTGCCAAACTGAATTTTCCTGGCTGACAGGTAAATGTGTTCTTTTTTACATGTTAAATAGTATTTACCTATACTGAAAATGTGTGCAAACTTTATGTAACACTTGACAAATTCAGTCCCGTGAAGTGGGCAATTTACTATTGAGACAAGATGAATATGGAATCCCACTGGGTTATTTTAGCAGCAATTTTAAAGAAGTAACACTACAGTTTTTCTCAGCTTGTGAGTGATCAGACACTTTGTTATTCCTATTTCTCTTTCACATCCTGCGAACCAAGTAAAATACCAGCACAAGAGCAAAACTTTGTTATTCCTATTTCTCTTTCACATCCTGCAAACCAAGTAAAATACCAGCACAAGAGGAGAAAAATTGGGAGAAAACAAATACTCTTCTCTGGAAGCTAAGTCCACAGAACACTGGGTATAATGACAGAAAATAAGTGTTCTCAGATTCTTTTTCAATGTGATATCACAACACCTAAGAGTTCATTCCTATTACTTGCCAAACTTTAGAAAACTGACTTCCAAACAGAAGACATAACTTTTTTATTCTAATACTTAGGTGTGCTGCCATTCTTCCTACATTCATTATACTTCTCTTTATCTAACTTAAGAGTTCACACAACTAAGGCTTTCAAATATAATTTTGATTACTGAATATAAATGAGCATGATTCTGAGAAGAAATCACCCTTCAACATATTTTGAAAAGCAAAGACTATGCCCACATTCTTCCACTATGTGACTGGTCTCACAGTCTATGATGACAGAAAACGTGTCTTAAAAAATTAAATTTTGCTTTATACAAATGTAAAACACTTCAAGCTTAATCTGAAAGCAACAGTTAAAAAGTCCATTAACTGAGTTGCTCATCTTTGCTGCTGGCTGTCCAAATCCCTGTTACCAACAACCCACATCTCTGCAGCACCCATTTTTACATTTAACATCTTTGCCAACATGATAAGGTACATCAAGGATAATCACTCCTTTCAGCACAAGTAAGATTTCCACCCAAGTTCTTTTTATATCTTGAACTAGCAACATTTGCATCCTGGAGACCATCAAAACAAAAATCAAAACCTATGAAAAAACCTACAATGAACAAAACTATGCAATGCTTTAAAGAAGTTTTGAAAAAATCTTTTCTCCATTTTTACTTCATATGAACGATTAGATGATCCTTAAAAGCACAAGATGGTTATCTTTAGCAGTATCTACATTCTGCATATCTTCAGAGGTACTATACATCATAATGAATTCATTATGAACTCAGCATTGCTCAGCAGAAGACATCTACAGTGGCTACGTATGACACCAGGTATTTCCTTTTCCTTTTTCAGTCCATTATTTTAAATCCCTTTCATCCTTGTGTTACTGGACTGTGAGAAAAGTAGATCTGAATATAATTGAGGCTGATGGACAGTACATGGGACAAAACAAATGTTTGTCTTGTCACATCATGCCTGTCTCATCTATGCATAATTGAGCAGAATTTTTTTCTAGCACCATCAATTATAAGCGTTAAATCTACTTAGCTGCAAAATTCTTATCAAATACTTGAACTCTGAGGAAATAAAGGCAAGAAAAATGGTCTCTCAGGACCAGCAGCTATGCAACATTACTGGCAATCATTTTAACAGGATTTTGCCACTCAAGATATGTGGCACTCATTTCTGAGGAATTAACTGGCTCATTCTCTGTGCTATGGTTTGGTCACTTTCTGGCATCACGCTCCTTGGGAGGAACCAGGATTATTTGCTCCTACAGCAAACTGCTAAACACACTTGCTTTTGTTCCTGTGCACACCCACCAGAACACACTGCTCAGATGGAACACACCTCTTGCCCAAAGTTTGCCACTTCTGTCCTGCCTAACTTACCTCCTGGTTGGAGGACAAAAGCCATGGTCACTGCTGGAATGTTGGAGCAGGAAGCATGCTCCATCCACACAGACCTTTCAGCAAGACATTTAAAACATAAGCAGGAAAGATGGTATTTTCTGTTTTATTTTTCCTGACATTCCTCATGCTCCCTCTTTCCTCCTCTCTCTTTCTCTCTCTCACTAGTAGACTTGGTGTGACTGTTCACTCTCTTAGAGAGCAGCTGAAAATTAAGAGTTATTCCTGAGTAAAAGGTTATTTGAGTACCTAAAATAAAATTTTGAATTTAAATCAGAGTAAACCTTTGCTGCTTTGGGCAGGGCTGTGGCTGAGCTACCAAACACAGAAGGAGAAGATAAAACTGGGTATAGATTCAGTACTCAGGTAACCCCTATCCACAGGTCACAAGCTGCAACCAGTTTTGTACGTTCATTACCAAAAAATAAAACCTAAACATCTGACTTTACTACAGGAAAGAACAAACAGCAATGACAAATCATTGTTACCAGTCATCTGGATGAATGTTGACAAGCACCAGAAATTTTTATTAGCTTCAAACACTACCTCTGTTTATTTTTAAAAATAAGTAGAAGATGTTATGTTTCAAAGTTAAGCACCACAAAATGAAAATCATTCAAATTAATTTTTATCATGATCAGGCCCACTTTTCTCCTAAGTACTCAGAATAATCACTTAACAGTTCTGCAGTGCTTTCTCTTTCAGCACAAGTTAAATCATTTACTAATTCCCATTTAAGATCTTTTTATAGTACAGAGCTGGCTATCCAAAGGCATCTCCTGTCTGACAAGTCCTGTTTAGAAAGCATACCAATTAACAGGTGTCTGCAACAAAAAGCCTTGACTACTCAGATTAAACTGACTGAAACACCTCATGGTTTATCTGGGAGGAGGAAAGTGGCTTTAAAAGTGTATTTTTAACATGAAGACAAGGCAATAAACAATATAATGTAACTCTGAAGTTGTTCCCTGCTTTGAGACGGGGCTTGGCCAGATGACATTCAGCAGTCCCTTCCAACCTAAATTATTCTACAATGCTAACACTTACATAAAACTTGAGAAGAGCACCATCTGAATTGCAACACCAGGATCTCCTTCCCAAATACTCATGGGCAGTGTTCAGCAGCATGAGTGAAGAAGGCAACATAGGGGTATCAGGACTCACTGGAAGAAAGAAGTTGGCAAATATTTAAGTAGCACAGAAATTAGCTAAATCCAATTTAGCCAATGCTTCACCTGACAAAAAGAGGTTGCCTCTGCGATAAGAAAGTGATGTTTGCATATCCCTCTGCTCCCTTCAGCCAGAAAGATAAGATGACAAACAGCTATTTTCTTATTTATATTCCAGAGCTAGATGGTAAGTAGCTCAGCTCCAATACATAAAACTGAATACTTAACCCACCTTCTTCTCCCTGGTTCTGCTGCTGCTGGCAGCAAAGGGATTGAAAAGCATCTTCCTCATGCTGGATGATCCTGTGCAGGATAATCCATGGAAGCACTGAGGAGACATATGGTTCCTTTGGTTCTTCCTGGACTGCCATGCTGCAGTCTATGATCTAAGAAAGAAACACACATTATATAAATTTAATTATTAAATAAATGTCAAGTGTGAATCCTTTCCAAACAACCCAAAGTTGGTGATGTTCCTTATGCTCAAGAAATAATCTACAGTTGAGTCTCAGCTTCTCACAATGAGTGGCAGTTGAAGTCCTACAAATAAGATAAACTGGTATGAGGAAAGGTGTATTATTTCCCCTACCCTGACATTCCCCTTGCATTGTCATTTTCCAACTAGTTATTTCTCTGTTAATACCATACACAAACCACCCAAAATAAATAAATGACAAGCATGAATTCTTAGGCCTCATTACTGTATGAGAAATTTATCTACAACCTAGCAAGGAAGAGGAACGTAGTTATAAGAATCCCTGAATGCTTTAGCAAGACTTAGAACTCTTAAAGAACAACTAGAATCATTAACAGATGCTACATAAAGGATGTAACTGAATAAATTTCAAGCAACACAAAGCTGTGTCATGGAACCTTTGTCCTAGCATTTCTCACATACAACTGCCCATTCTATTGCCACAGTGCCAGAGATTTCTGAAGACCTACACTTTTCTCACATTCTTTCACACATCTAACAGTTTTTCTATTGATATTTATGTAGATAAAGAATCATATTTATTACTACTACAGTAGCCATTTAGGATACTACAATGAATACTCTGTTCTCCAGAATTTCATTATATTCCATAACAGTAACACACACACAACTTTACACAAAGAGCATAATTTTGTGAAGGCCCTTGACTTTTACTGAAGTAAATGGAGATTTGAGAGTGGCAAGCACGTGGAATTTTGACATTATCTGAACTGAGAATTTGCTATTTGTTACCTGGACTGAAAAATACTCATTCAGTAGTTTTCATGTTTCAAAGTACCTTCTTTAAAAGCCTAAAATCAGCTGTATTCATGTCAGACACAGTCTGCACACGACTTTTTCCTGCTCTCTTTTCATCACTCTCTCCGTTTTTACTGGAAAAACCCTTAGCTTTGCTAGCACTTGCCAGCAACGCCACCATGTTCATAAGGCTCATGGAATCTTGCCTTCTAGCCCAAAGCACACACAGGCAGGATCAAGGCCATAACTTCCAACCTGCACCCAGCCACCCAGTCCCTGCACTATAACCATTTAAAATTGTTTAAGAAAACAATCTTGTTCCTTGGGTTATCTTATTGCCATCCTTTGATTACTTGCTGTTACTGATTCCAGAATAGGTGTGCTCAGTGTCTCTAACACACCAAAGTGAAGATTATAAAGGTAATGTTCATCTTTCCCCAGCAAAAATGTAACCTGAACAACCACTGTAAGCAGGAGGCCATTCAGACAGAGCTGTGTCATGTCTGAAGGACCATAGCACCCGATGCCCCTTTCCTAGGGCAAGTGAGCAGGTCACCTGAATCAGGTTGTTGGTTAATCGAACGAGGCTTGGTGTGATAGAAGTGTCTTTCAGGATGCTGCTGACTGAGGATAATGAAGTATCTATTCCTGCAAGCAGCTGTGTTACCGTGGCAACCCACTCTTCCTTAGCAGAGGTTGTTGTCATATTAATCATCTGCTGAATTGCTTCATTCAAGGCAACTTCTGAGTGTTCAAAGCATTGCTTGTAATCTTTCAGTTTGAGCAAGGAGTCCTAGAGAATGTAAATATGAGAAAAATCTGTTATAAGGATAAAAGGTTTATTTTAAACCATGAATGCACAGCAGGGCAAAGCAAGACACTCCATACAGCTGAAGAGGTTACTTTAATGAAACGACAGCAGAACACCTTTAAATATGGTATTAAAAAGGACAATAGGAGGGTGCATGGACCCTGGATTGCAAAAATACAAGTAGAAGCTAAATTTCAAAAAAATCATTACAATCTTTCTGCTTTAATAATTTAAATAAATATTGAGGAAAGAGATGGTTGTAACATGTAATGATACATAGCTGAATAGAGGTCCTACAGAAACAGGTTTTGGATCTTTATAGACTTGTGCTACCATTTCATTAATTCAGAAGTAACAAAAGAGCAACTACAAGGCCAGCATGACAGCAACATCCTCCTGCTTCTTTGTACTCTGCCGAGTCTGGGTCACAAGATGGTACTGAGGATGTAGGATTTGGCTCACTCCAGTTAAAAAAGCATCAGTCTGGTTTTGTGCAGTCTTTTTTTCCCCCCAGGGAACCTGACAGGCTCAAATTGTTCCTATAGCTGAGTTCTTTTGTATGCTCATTCTCATCGTGTCAAATGGACTAAACATCTATAGCAATTACACTGGATGTATTTATCACAAAGAGTCTCATTCAAGGCAGGACAGATATGCTTCATCATAAAAATTATTAATATGCTAGATAACTTCAAAGTTTCAGAATGGTGGTAAATCACATACAGTCAACATCAGCAAAAGCAGGAAATATCCAGAGCAGATGGACATAGCATGAGTCCCTAAATGAGATGTCTCTGCAAATGATTGAAGTTTATTTGAACTTAGTTTTTCTGGCCACTTCATGTTGGCCTCAGACATCTTATATCTTTAGCCACATTCTTTAGTTACTAAAGCTGGGATATTAGTAATGATGTTGATAACACTATGCTGTTCAGAGCATTTACAGATTTGGTTCCATAGCTCACTTTGTAAATAAGGCTCATTAACCATTAACACACACTCTAAAAGTCTTTTCATCCTGTCTTCAGGAATAAATCTTAATCCCTTACTAAAGAGACTTTTTAAGAAACAAAACAAACCTGTAGGAGAAGCAGCTGTGCTGGTCTCTCTGGTATGGATGTTACAAAATCCAGATGTTTTGCTCTACCATAACCATTAAAACACAAGGTTGGCCGAAGCAGATGCACCACCGCATTATAATCCCCCGCCTCATACAGCCTCTGGATCTCTTCCAAAGACTGGCATCTCTCCAGAGATTTCAGGTTCTTTTCAATCTGCAAACAGAGGTGGCAGCATCCAACTGTCATTTTCCCTTCACATACATTTGCTTACTGACATTTCTCCCAGCAGTTTAGCTGCAAAGTCATCTGAACTCTATGGGTAACATCCAAGAATATAAACCAGGAAGAAACCATTTACTATCATGGAATACCAGGTTGGCAGGGACCTCAAGGATCATCTGATCCAACGTTGTAACAATTCACCCATTCCACAGATTTTTAGTTATGACATAGTATATGACCATAGTGCTATAATGATTTTAGACTTTTTTGCCTCAAATCCCAAAATCGCATATTTGTACCTCCTGTGTTGGAGCTCATCCCCCAAAACAGCAATAAAAATAAGACAGACATTCCTTTGTTCAAAAGTGTATACACATTTTTATGTGGAAAACAGACTGCTGAAGTAAAGAGCTCCCTTAAGCAAAGGTGACATTTATGTTTAAGAACAGAAACTAAAGCAGTAGTCTGATCATCTACTGTTCTACATGCAGCTGCTCTAGTATCTTTATTTTGCATAAAAATGTTAAATTGCATAGGACTGAGATCCAGAAGATGACTTTTTGAAAAGGAGATGGTGGCCTTGCCAGCATCAGTGAGCTATGAACCTTGTCCTTCCACTCTTTGAAAAATTCTAGGACAGACACAGTACACTTTCATCACAGAAGAGCTACTTCATAGATGACATTTGTAACTGGGGAGAAAACACCTGCAAATTAATTCTTACCTCTTCTAAAGAGACAACAGAATCCACGTGCAGATTAGGTAACCGTATCACAATGCTGCTTTCATTGCCAGCTTTAGCTTGCATTGTGGTGGAGCTCTGTAGCATCTCAGTGCAGATGTCATAGTTTTCAAGTGCTTGTTCCATGTCTCCCTACAGAAACAGCAGAGGAAAAACAAACCATGGAGTTCTGTCTGCAGCAAGGGTTTCTAAAGCATGTAGAAAGTGTTTACATCCAATGCAGGCACTGCCAGTGTGATTATTACACATCCTGCCAAATAAAAACCAAATCTAATTGATAATCTCAAGTACAGATCCAAAAAAAATCCATGTTCTGCAGCTACAAAATACTATAATACTACCCAAAAAAACTTCAGTTCAAATCTATTTTTTTAAGCTAAACATGAGCTAATTTAAACAAAGATTTGCACATTAAATATATCTAAACATTAGCTTAGCATTTGAAACCTCCGACTTCATTTCCAACTCTACCCTTAAGGTGACTTAATTATATTAAAAAGGAAAATGAAATTACTATGTTTTGAGCTGATTTTATCTACATGCTGAAATGAGCCAAGATTCCCAAATCAGCTGCAGCTTTCTCTGAACAATATTGATTTCAATTTGGGAAAAGCTTTATTTGTTAAATCAAAAGTAAAGCAAACCTGCAGTGCCAGAAAGCGAGCTTTCAGCCAGTACACCCGTGTGACAAACTCCATCCAGCCCTCCTCAAACAAATCTCTCTGTGAGGATGCAAGTGACAGCTGCAAAAGGTCTCCCAAGAAATGAGTCCCTGGGAAGTCAGGACCAAACTTTCCATTCACAGAGGCAGCAGGACAATTCCGTGGAGAAACTGTAAATCAATTAATTACAGTTTATCATAAAGTCATTAGCAGCCCTCAGAAAGAGTCCCACATACTAGTATTTCAAAATTACTGATCTACTTCAAGGCAAACAATTTCTGGATCAATAAAATACGGACCTGGAAGATAATAATTAAGAAAAAATAGGTCCAAAATCCAATTAATTCCTGGAAACTATTCTCCATATACCTAGAGTGTATTTAGTCTGAAGAAAGCAACATCCAGCTCTCACCTGTAGAGCTCTTCCTCTTTGTAAGTAGCCACTGATCCAGCTGCAGTTCCATGCAGGACAGGCTCATCAACATCATATCCTTCAGAAAAAGTATGGAGAGATCAAAATAGAGTACACAAAGAAATACGTTTAAAGAAGAATAAAAAGAGCCACCACTAAATTTGCAGTTTTCTTCAAAGAAAATCTCCAACTTGTCCTCTTGGGATTTCTATTCCCAAACTGGAACTGCTTCTTTTTCTGTCTAAGGAGCATTAACAGCATTTACAAGTCAGCAGACACAAGACAATATTTAGAAGAAGCACTGAACAAAATAAAAAGTCTCAGCTCTGTCGGAACAGAACTGCTTGATGACAGAAAAAAGTGGCATCCTTGTTTTGTATCTGGTTGAAATAAAAGTATATTCAACTGCTAAATCATGCTAAAATCATGTTTCCAGAATATAGAAGTACTGATATTTGAGAAATAAAAAGTCTATATCCTGTAATTTTTTCAGTATTTCTCTCTTTTGGTATGTTCTCTATTTTTATCAGCTTATTCACACTTGCTGCATCAAGTTCAGCAGTATATTAAAAATCACATCAGCATGGAGCTCTGCCAGGTAGTTCTGTGCAGTGAAGAATATACTATTTTCTGATTAAATCCATAGGAACAAGAGCTACAGATCCAGCTGTACAAAATTAGTGCTGGTGAAAAGGTTCAAAAGTCCACACACATTACCAGAATAGCCCTTTACAATCTTCATTCCAAATTTATTACACTCAGGATAGCTTGCAGATCAAGCTTACAATTAATTCAAGGATGAAAAAGAATAGACAAGCATGAGGATAGTGATTCTTTTTAATAGTATAGCTACAAAGTCTTGGCTTTTTAAATTTTACATCCAAGCAAGCAGTTCTGCAGTCATAATGAGAACCAGGGGAATACATTTATAAATATATTTACATTTCTTTAAGAAAGGGTATGTATATCTGAAAAATTCACAGAAATGCCAAAGTCACAGGATACAAAAAAAACCTGACAACATCTGCTACATAGCAACACTTCTGTGTGTTTGTTTTGCAAACTAAGTCAGTGGAACACAGGTTTCAGAATTCATTTCTCATTTGCAAAAAAGCAGAAACACTGCTGATGTGAAAAGAAGTCTTTCAAGCTGCAGTCACACCAAAGGCAAATCACTTTCCAAATGAATACACCTTGCTAATGTTGAAAAGATAACCCAGGCAGGCTCTGTGGCCACGAAGCATTAATACTATTTTTATAGTTCAAGAAGTACCACCTTGCGTAACATTACTTTAAGGAACCTATCATTTTTTCTATTTGCATTTGTGAAATCTACAGATGTATAAAGGTAATAAAATGGTGATGCTGGAGGGGCAGGGTTGGTTTTGTTTGTTTTTTACTGGGAATTGCAAGTTATTTTAAAACAAAACTGCACTGATTCTATCTAGAGCAAAAATACTGATCCACAATCAGCCAGTCTGTGATGGGTGAAAGAGCTTGGGCAGCTCTCTAGACAGAACAAACAAAGCCTGCTTCTAATTGCTGTATTCCAGCAACAGAGCAGCAAATAGAAGTATAAGGAAAAGCATTTCCTTACCTTGATATGCTGATTACTTGAGTCCCTCAGTAATGGATTGGGAAGACTACTGCTATGCTTCCTCCAGCTATTATAGATACTAAGGACCACCTCACACAAGCCAGGAGGCCACTTCACTAGAAACTTTTGGCTGATGACTTTTAGATATCTCATCATCAGCTCCAAGATTCCACCATTGTTCAGGTTATCCAGCAGGAATTCATGAACGTCCTGTTTTTCTAGCAAGTAGATAAACACAAAGCCACACGTTTAAGGTCCAGACAGACCATAACTTGAAACAAGTTTAAACAGTGTTTTATGCACTAATCTTGCAGCAGCTCTCCTGTGCTGCATACACACAGCATTAAGTGACTGTGCTCCAATCTGTTTAAATGGGAAACCCCACACAACAGAGCTCTTGCACACAGTCATTAAGGAGTTCCCAAAACTTAAAAAAACATAAATCACAGCTGTTACCAACTGAGGTATAAAATTATACTGTATTTTCAAGATATGATAGGAAAATACAGAAAATAAAGTGTACAATATGGAAGAAACAGCACAGAAAGAGTGAGGGTTATAATAAAATCCTTACCAGATTCCATAAACGTCGTTGAATCAAATGACATTCTGTGTGGTCCAACGTGCTGGAAATTCTCCTCTTTGATCTCTGACTGTACCTCATAATTACTGAAAGGGTCTTCCTCCTCTTCTGGATCCAATTTCCTTAATCTGCATGAAAGGGGGGCAAAAACCATAATATCAACAAATGCTCAAGCTTTCTTTCATTAATAAGTGAAACCTAAACGTGGCACTTTGTGCATTTTTAACAGTGAAACTGCATTAACTGAAGCAAATTCAGAGTTCAACATCCAGTTCCCAAATTCTGTCCAAACAAAAATTCTCTTGTCTATCTTATCCATTTTGACTTCTGCATCTTCCTCCAGTTTCACATTAACAAAAGCTTTCTTATTTTTCAATTAGTTCTTAGTAATGTTCAATGAAACCAGTTTTATTACATTTATGAGGAGACAATGCATCACATCTGCTTCAATAAAAAAGTAACATGAGTCTAGTGGGTTTATGGTTAGGGAATATCAAATAAAATCCCAAATAGCTTCCTCTGCTTAGAACTTGGTATTTTTATGATGGAAGTTCTTGCTGCACAGTACCTGGAAGGAAGGAATTTCACCAACAGTTCTTGAAAATCAACCTTCTCCTCTTTTTTACACTTGGTGTTCCGGACTCTAGCAGATCTCCTCTTTGCTGTTTCACCACTATCTTCTGTAATTCTCCTTCGTTTCACACCCTTCTTAGATTTATCACCTGCAGATATGTCACCTAGAAACAGAATTATAAGAAATAGAAAGAAGATACTGACAGGTTATACTGCCAAACAAAAAGTAGATAATCTTACTTGTGGCTGATGCTTTATTTCGTTCTACAGCAACACTTGAAGTTCATTGGTTTTTTTTCAGAAGACAATGCCAAACATTTAATAATTTTTAAAAATCACTTTACTATAAACTGGCTATAGCATTTTGCATAAAAATGCTGGCCTGAGGCAAGAAGCAGACTTACTGAAAATTCTGCATTTCTTTATTCATTATTTTAGCCTTCAAGAATTTCCTGAAATGGGAATCAGATGAGTATGTTTTAAACTCCAGAAACATCTGTAAATTCCCATGAATATCAACAAAATACTGGTAACTTCTTGATAGTTTTAGATATGTAAATATATGTAAATATATAAATATATATATATATATACACAGAGAGTATATAATATTCAAATCTTTTGCTACAGATTTCAAACAAATATAGCTGGCATCTTGGTTTGCTCAGGTTCTTAAAGTCACACATGAGCAGCCTTCCTTTTCAAATGTGAAGGTTTAACAGATCGTTCTACAGCAACACTTGAAGTTCATTGGTTTTTTTTCAGAAGACAATGCCAAACATTTAATAATTTTTAAAAATCACTTTACTATAAACTGGCTATAGCATTTTGCATAAAAATGCTGGCCTGAGGCAAGAAGCAGACTTACTGAAAATTCTGCATTTCTTTATTCATTATTTTAGCCTTCAAGAATTTCCTGAAATGGGAATCAGATGAGTATGTTTTAAACTCCAGAAACATCTGTAAATTCCCATGAATATCAACAAAATACTGGTAACTTCTTGATAGTTTTAGATATGTAAATATATGTAAATATATAAATATATATATATATATATACACAGAGAGTATATAATATTCAAATCTTTTGCTACAGATTTCAAACAAATATAGCTGGCATCTTGGTTTGCTCAGGTTCTTAAAGTCACACATGAGCAGCCTTCCTTTTCAAATGTGAAGGTTTAACAGAACTTAGTTTTATAAAGCTCAACTTCACTTTCTCTACCAGATGTTACACGTATACTGAAGGTTCTGAATCCACCAACATGAAGTTTAAGGACAGCTCTTCCCAGTGTTTTTGATACACAGATAAGTAGGAAAGATATCTTGAATCTTAGACTGAAGTACCTTGCTCACCTACAGCAGCTCCTGGTTCCAATGAATTCTGAGTGTGACTTGGAAAGTTGGGAGTTGTTGGAGTAAAAGGTAATACTGGCTCTGGCACTGTCACCACTGGATTAGTGTTGACAGGAGTTGGCTGAATAACACTGACAGGAGCAGAGGTAGGAGAGAGAAGCAAAGGTTGAACTGGGTCTCTGTATTCTGAGAGGTCAATTCTCCTTCCCAGGCTGGGTCGAGGAGGATCACACGTGGTGAGATGGTGATACATGGCAAGTAAAGCTTCTCCTAAACACTTCCACCTGCACGTGGGAACACAATGGCATCACAACTGCAGTAATTCTTGTCACATTATATTCTAAATTATATTTACACACTTCACAGCATTCCCCATTTTTTTCTTCAAGAGCTTAGAGGCAGCAAGAGCAGTTTTAAGTGGGAGAAGAATAAATATTTGAGTGTCAAAATCCTCCCCACAACTAGGAAAGCTGAAGAATATGTTTCTACAGTTCTTGTCACATGGACCATTGACAATTTCAGGCCTGGAATGGAGATCCTCAGCTTTCCTTCTAGAATACACCACTTAGAACAACAAAACCAAAATGTGGCAGCAGGCAAAAGTTTTCAGAAGAAACTGGTGAGCTGGTAGCAGTAGGAAGGAAATGGGAGTCAATAAAGTGCCTAATGTCAAAAAAAATCTGACAAAGGTCTATGCAGAGGAAATTATAATGAACCCTAAAAAAAGTAGTGTCAAAGAAACCATTTTCAGGTTCTGCATTCAGTCATGAATAAAACACCCTCACCCTTATCCACAAGTAGAAGCAACTTATCTGCAATAGGACCTACATGCAAAGTCCTTTAACAGTTCAGAAAAACATGTGCAACAAAAAACCTAACCAAAACCTAATCCTTTATGCCTTAATAAAGACATACATAAAAACTTATTAGTGTCCTTATATCTTGCTGCAAATAAAGAACTGTAATTTGTTTACAAGTTTCCATTATTCCAATAGCAAAAACATTTTTTAAAAAGCTAAACTTACTTTGAAGTTCATATACAAACTAGTCATACATGAAAAATCCAGTCATACAGCTGGAATGGCTGCCAAGTAATTCTTAGTTAAGATTTATTATTTTTTTACATCACTGATTTTAATTCAAAGGTTGAAAACTGACAGATATGGAGTTTTTATGCTAAAATCAGAAACACACCAAACCAACCTGCAAACTCATAAACAATGAAAAGGCTGGGGGGTTGTCTGCTTGTTTTTACAAGGAAAAAAAAAAAAAGGTGCCCTGTAGAAGCTGGAAGTACAACAGGTAGCTTCAGATAAACCTTTAAAAAAAGATAAAAGAAAATGACATACGTGAGAAAGGGGATTGGCTGGACCAGCCTAAGGTCTGGTTCTCTGTCACGCACCAGCAAAGCTTGTCTTTTCTTACGTAGCTCCAGTGCTTCATCTATGATTCTTCCTGATTCAGCTGCACCCACATTTACATCATGGATAGACATGTCACTAAGAAGTAATAAAAAATGAAAAGAAGTCTTTGTTTGTTGGTGGTTGTTTTTTATTAAAGCCTAGGGAGATTAATTTGGTATCTTCTAATGTTTAACAGCGTTAAAACAAATATACAAACCACATTTTTAGAAACTTTATAGCATGCACACAGAAGTGCATCTCAGGTACTAATGAAGCCTACAAAGTCTTCTGACTGTGTTCATCTGCCAATAAAAATCAGTAAGACTTCCTGAAATCTACTGATATGAGAAAATTGTAACAAGTCCCAGATCTGTTACTGCTCAGAAAAGCAGTAGCATGTGGGGGCTTTTGGTTTTTTTGGGGTTCTTTTTTCTGTTTTGTGGGGTTTTTTTAATTGAGAAAACTAAAATGGACACTGCAGGTATCAGCTGCAAATAAGTGAAATGAAACAGAGGAAGGTGATGACAAGAAATCTAGGTGTGAAAATAAGTGAACAGCAGCAAATGGAATTTTTACCTCTTTCTATCTCCCTCCAAAAAAAATTACTGAAGAACATTCTTCCAGCAGCACCAACACTTAACACAGATTCATCATTTAGAAGGCAAGTCAGCAAGATACTGCTTAAAGCCTTATATTTCACCAGCTTTTCTGCACAACCCCAAACCAAACATCTACACTCCAAATGCAGCCTATAGTGTCAAGATGTTATTCACCATTTGAGGAACATCCTTAGAGAATCTTTCCGGAGGCAAGGCTGCTCCTCAAAGATCCTCTCCTTCAGAACCAATCCTTTGCTATAGAGACAGTCTTTTTCCAGAGCTTTGCAGATAAAGTACAAACATGCTGACAGAGGAAAAGAAATTGAATGGTCAATCACTTTGGTTCATTCAGAAGCTCCCGTTTCTGGGCTTCATACACATCCCTGAATTCCAACTAAATACGACATTTACATAAATTGGATCTATAGCTTTGTGACACGTCAAATAATTACATCCAGAAAAATAATATAATTAATTTTGTTTAAACAATTTCTGCAGTCAATCTTTTACTTACTTCCAAGCCTCCATTCCTGCACAAAGGAAGTTAGAATCATAAAGCAGAATCACAATCATTTGCCATTCTCACGTTAGCCAGTGTCTCAGCTGCAGATTCCATTTGTGTAACAAGGAATGCATCCCACCAGGTTTTTGTGTGGGAACAATGATGTGAAGAGATTTGAGACCATTTCAGTAGGACAAACCTAAGAGATCAGATTCACATTTCTGCCATCTTGCTGCCTCTCTCCTGAACTTCCTTTGGGTCAGTTCATTGACTGGATATTACTCAAATACAAAATCTCAGTGTCAGCTGCTGCAACAAGAATTTAACACACTAGGCCATGAACTAGACTGTAGCTTTATACTCAAACCCTGGAACTATGTAGCTGGAGAGGACTAGAAACACAAACTCAACAGACATTGAAAGGCAAGAGAACAGTCTACAGGGAAACTTCTGACAGAGACTCTGAGCTAAGAGACCACAGGTATTTATTTTAAGGGTAACCAGAATTGGTAGAAACCATCACACTTCATCATGAAATAAAAAAGTCTCTTTCATAACCTCATGCACTGCTTATGCATCTTCTCCCCTATGATTGCATCATTACAACTTTCTACTGATGTGTAAAATGACATATCTTGAGAATGATTTTTGGTGTGTTGTACTTACTTGTGTAGTCACTGAGTGTGTACAAGATTGTGATAAGGTTATCTAAACAAGGCCAGTGATCAGGATTACACCTGAGACCTTCTTCAAAAGCATGACGAGCCAAAGGTAGGCGGATTAGTTTTATTGCCACTCGACCAATTTTATACCACAGGTTGACATCAGTAGAGTCTAGCATTACAGCCTAGAAAGCATAACAAACAACATTACATTATTCACCTTTCAGATGTGTAGATCCACTTGCCTACAGGGACTGGCACTTGAGTTTTCAACAAGGACACTACTGGTTTGGACACTGAATGGTGGACCAGTTATACCCCATATTACATCAGAAAGTGCACAGAATTCAGACACACATGCAAAGGGTGTGTGCTGAAAGGTGCACATCTGTGTTTTTGGCAAGTTTCTGCCAACAGTGAGGCTCCTGTGTTCTATTTCAGCTGTACTGTACCTCCAAATAAAATTCCATGGCTGTCTCTAAGTCATCCCGTTGTGCTGCCAGTTGTGCTAGGTTTTTATAGGTGGAATATTTCAACATCAAGCCTGGATGTTTCAGCCCTTCTTTCTCATCGCCAGAAAGAACTGCCTAGAAACAATCAATAAATGCAACACAGGCATTAGGAATTAGACAAGTTAAAAGCGCAGCAAATAACTTGCCAATTGAGAACACTGGCATTTCTCGTTAGCCAGTAAACAAGAAATTAAATAATATAAAATATAATCAAGATAGTTTTTAGAATTGCATTCTCTAAAGGTCACTGACCTCTCGTAGAAGATGAATCTCAAGCAGTTCATGATAAGCTTTAGCAGACTCCTCAAATCGGTCATGTTTCTGAAGGTCCAAAGCTTTGTGGTACAAGGCAAAAGCTTCTGCTTCCTGTGGTTTGAAAAATTAGAACCTATTTTGTAGGGCAACCTTATTAAATATACTTACTACAGCATAATTACATTTATTATGAATATCAGTAGTTACACATTTTTAATACTTTCTGCTATATAGCAGTCCACACCCTGACTGTTTAGCAGAACATTGGCCCTACCGACCTAAGATAAATCATTTGAGTGACGTTTTAGCTTTCTGAAGGAGGGATCAAGAGAGAAGATAGCCATACAAGGTTCTTAAAAACAAAAGAGAGGGTTGAACAATCCTGTAACAAGAGGACAAACTCCATTAAATTGTGGGTTTACTTACTTGAGCTTCCTTTGTCTGTGTCTTATGACTTTTGAAGGTCCCTTCATAGTCATCCTCAACCGTGGAGCTCGCGTTCAGGGCTGCAATTCGAATCTAGAGTGACAGGCAAGACAAGAGATGCTACTTCCCCATGGAACATGCAAACTGGATCATTCTCATTCTTTTACTTTACTTGGCAAATGAACTATATTGAGAGATCTCTACATGGAGTTACAAGAACTTCATTAAATTTAGTCAACTGTCATCACAAACAATAATACGTCAAAAGACTTTACCCCCTCCCAATCAGTTGATAAAACAAGACTTCCAGCGTCTTGCAAGTAACAGCTTCCCTAGAACAGACATGAGCATTACAGTGATTTTTTTTCAAATTCTTCATTTAACAATAACTGCAACTACTCCAAAAACAATATTCTCGGTATACCTATTTATTCTTAGTCCTGGAGAAAGAAATTTTTCTACTTGGTTTCCACCAAAACATCTCAAAAACTATCTCAAAAAGCCCTTACCATTTTCACAGCTGCACACACCTTCTTTCTCCAGGATTAGAAGGAAGGGCCTAACACAAAAAATCCAGAAATAAAACAGGATTAGAATATTTATTCTGTTCATAAAGAAAGCATTCAGAAGTGAAAGACAGGCAGGGAATGCTTTAATCAATAAGCAATTAAACACAATACAACAATCAATCACCTATGTCACCACCACCCTATGCCACGAGATAAATTGCCCCACCCCACAGGAACAATAACATTCAGTGAATTTTAAGTAGAGACAGAGAATAAAATACACAGTTAAGCACATTTATTCCTTCAGGCTTTCAAGACTCTAGTCCTGGCAGTGAGGGGGGAGTGGAAGTACTGGCAACATAATCACAGCTATAAGGTTATTCAGTTCCTGTATAATCATAGAATTACAGAATGGTTTGGGTTGGAGGGGACATTAAAGATCATCTAGTTCCTGCATGGGCAGGGACACCTCCCACTAGACCAAGTGGCTCAGAGCCCATCCAACCTGGTCTTGAACACTTCCAGGGATGAGGCAGCCACAACCTTTATATTAACAATACAACATAAATCCCTTTAATGACAAAAGCTAAAGCAAAAACAGCTCCTTCGATATTGTGACATTTTATAAGCATTAATCATGAAAGCTTATGAGTTTATCTTTAGTTACTTTTAAAAAAAATTATGGAAGTTTTCCTGCACCTTCTACCCACAGCACAAACCAGAGTGCTCTCTCATGCCTACAAAGCCTAGCATGGATATTTACAAAACAGGAAAGGGGAAAAAAATGGAAGGTTGTCTGTGTCAGATGGACTCCGCAGCAGGCCATGGTGGCTAGTTAGCCCATTACTCAGTTACTGTCTGCACCTGGAAATTCTTCTGATTTAAAATGTTTTCACAGCTGCTGTCCCTGCTAGAACAGAACCCATATTAATAACACAGGTCTTTCTTCGAGTGTGTTGACCAACTTGTACAAACCACCTCTAGCACAAAAGCAAGTTACAGCTATTGTTTAGACAACCAAAAGAAACTGAGCTTATTACTAACTAGTATTTCTATGTTCTGAAGGAAGGACACGAGTATTTCCGATCTTTTTACCACTGATAAAAAGGCTAAGGGGGGAAAAACACATCTACAATCTGTAAGCCTTTTTTACTCATAACTAAACCAGTCATTTATATTCTGTTAACTGCTTGAAATGTTGTGTTAGTAAAGGCAAAAATCATGAAAGAATTCCATGCTGCTTTTTTAGAAAAGCTTCACTGCTGCATGATAAAACCTGCCCATCAACTCAAACAAAAAGATGACACAGACAGGCTAAAAACAGTCTTTAATATTGGAGACCACATTAATAGAAGGATAAGTCCAGAATTAACCACAGCAGGAAGCAGTGGGAGTTTTGAATTAACTCACACATCATCATGATTAGTTCTACACATAGAGATAATTATGCTTTGACAGGATTTTCATTCACTCAGCAACGATATTTTGCTTGCCCAGGCACCACTTACTTCCTTGCTTGCAGCTAAATCAGACTGACAACTGCACAGCAATAAAGCATTTTTCTCTTTAAGTCACTAATTAAACATTAATAAAACCTCAAATCTCTTTCAATACGAGTGTTCTTTACCTACTTTGCATATGAAGAAAACACACACACAGAGATTAATGGTTCTCTCTTTCAGAAATATTAAAACACTCCAGCATTTGACAGAAAGTGCTGATGCTCGTGGCATCTAAATACACCAGACTGCATGACCCCAAATCAATTACATATTTAAACGGAGTGCTTTTAAGTTCACTTTAAAACATGCCTATAGAAATATGCTCAAATCTTGCTGAATGCACAATCTTGCTCAAGGTGGCAGAGAAAGGCAACAGGAGAGAGATAAGAATCAGGAACTTCCCTGGTTAAACTGCAGCGACAGAAATGCTGGGAAAACTATTTTAATTCTGCTTTTTATTTATACAGAATGTTTCTAACAAATGTTTAGCACCTCTTCTCTCTGGTGTGCACAAGCTGGGAGATCATAACCAAGTGTAACGTCCTGAAAACAGGGCAAGGATATTGTCTGCACAGCTTTTATACTGGCGTGTCTGGCAGACATGGGGTTTATTTTAATTACTTTTTTAAAACCAGGCACTGTTTATGGAGGCAAATCTAACTGCAGACTGAGTTACAACAGCATCATAACACCCAGTAACAAAGTATGTCATCACAAGCACTTTCAGAACACTGCTGTATCAATTAGTTGGGAAAAAAAACAGAAGTAGCATTTAATATAAATAATTACAAACCGAATTTAAATTTTTCACTTACAAGAGGGTCTCAGGTGAGCACACCCACAGGAGGCAGCAATAGCTCTTTAAAGCCTTTTATCTTATGGTTTAAAACGTAAGTAAAAAATTCAAATGTCAGCTCCTGTTCCCAAAACTTGTGTGATTCTCAACTTCAAGACAAGAAGCAAAGGGAGTGACCTGGGCTTTCCTGGCTGTTGTTGTTGCTACACTTGGGAGCCATACACTGAAAACACACGGTTGTTTAAAAAAAACCCAAAACAACAGCAAACCAAACACCTGACTTTTGTTTTGTGTCGGGTTTGCCTGTGACACTGTCAAGATCCCCCCCGCCGCATTTCAGAGAAAAAAACGTTTTTACCGGTAACTTTCCGCAAAGAGGAGCGGGGACGCCCCTCACCCCGCTTGCCGGGCTCCGTTTCCCAGGGAACCGGCACAAGGGCCTCCCGGGGAGGGCGGGAGCCCAGCTCTGCCCCGGCCGCGGCTCGGTGGCGGGGAGCAGGCGAGGCCCCGCCGGGCCGGGCTCCGGCTGCGCTCACAGGCAGCAGCGCAG